ATACACACACACTTTTTTTTTTTTTTTTACCGAATACCTTAAGCTATGTTTATCACAATGCATAATTTTGTTTGGTGATAGATTTTACAGTGAGTTTGAGGTGTTGGATTTTGGAAAGCATGGTTGCCTCAAACTCCTAATTTGCTGCTTATTAATAATTAGTAAGGTAGTTGTTCAGTTTAGGTATTAGGTAGGATTAGGGATGCAGAATAATGTCATGTAGAATAAGGCATTAATATGTGCTTAATTAGTACTAATAAATGGCTAATATTCTAGTAATATGCATGCTAATAAGTAACTAGTTAAGAGACCCTAAAATAAAGTCTTACCGACTTTTTCAGCCAACACTGATTTTTCACTTTGATTTGACTTGGAAAGCATGGTGGCCAACATTCAGCCTTTTTTACGTGTTGAGTCAGCAGCATAAATTTGAGGTAGGCCTGTCTCAAACAGAGATTACTTTTCATAAAAAATGATCGTATAAATATTACCATGCGCATTCTAAATATTTCATTCCATTACAAAGTAAAATACATTGATTCGATCTCCGCAGCAGTTGACATCTAGCCTACATCTAGTCACAATTTATGTCCGTTTACATAATAAGCAAATTCAATCCAATGTCGTAGTTTTTTATTATTAAAATAAACATTTGTCATCATTTATGAAAAAATAGGATCTACATATACAGTGCATAAGAAACAAAATTAGAGCTACTTTAAAGTCTAAGTGTTAAAACAGTGAAATTCTTCAGATTTACCAAGGCCGCCAATAATTCTGTTTCAAGGCTTCAGAAAAAGTGCAGCACTCATCAACCTTTGAATTTTTCAGACTGAAGTGTGTGGTTTTGAGCTTCTTGGATCCATGGGTCCCAGCCTGTGCGTTAAATGATATTTTGTCCACATCACAAATCTCAATCCTCTTCGGCATAGAGCAATAAGATCTGTCGGAAGTTTGCTGCAAGTTGGGATAAGGAGCGTCTGTTTTAAGCGGAACTTTGTGTGATCGACGAAGTGTACATGTTGGTGCAGAGATCCGTGCAGGGTCGCTCTCCGCGGTACTGAAATCAGGAGCTCTGGCGTGGTTAGGACCGCTAGTAAGATGTGTCAGCATGATGGAGCGGGAATCTCTGTCTGCGTCCGATGCGAGAAGATAATGACTGACAGTGGCCAGACAGCTTCTGTACCCTGCGTGATATTCAGCAGAGTCACAAACTGTGGGAATTCCTGCATTTAGAGAAATCAACATTTAGTTACTGTTTTCCATAAATGTAACGAATAATAAGTCTTTTAAAGCGAATGGCACGCAAACCTCTTTTGGTGTTTTGCAGATGCATCAGATGTTTAACTGTCAGCTCCAAAATGTCAGCCTTTTCCAATTTTCGCTTGCGGATCTGAATAATGCAGTAATTGCAAATATAAAAACAGATCAGTTAGTTTTTGATACAGATAGTTGATGTTAGAATTTGAATAAATGTAAACCATTATAGAAGATTAAGTCCATTTAAATTTCTTACATTGTTCGAACAGACACTCTCCAGGAGACTTTTCAGTTGATTCAAACATTTATTGATACGTGCCCTTCTTTTCTTCTCCATCAGTGGTTTGGACACCTGAAAGACAAAATCGTTTCTTTTATTTAAAATACAATGAATGCATGCTATGAATGATAAAGACGTTCTAGATTTTTGTTTACAAAAATTCATTTAACTCATAACTCTAATCACCTTTTTAACGCTCTGAGTTTTCGCCGTTACCACTCTGTCTGATGCTGCAGCCATTGTCCTCAAATGCTCGATGCGCTTAGATACCCAGATGAATTATCCAGCTTCCTTGTGTTAGAGTGAAGGAATTCTCCCTAGCATCCTGCTTTATAAAGAGAGACTCACTTAACATCTCAATGCACTGCTCACATCATTGGTGTGCAAAAAGAGCATCCATTTAGTTTCTGCTGGACACCCAATCAGCATGAAGTTGCTTTCCTGGCTGTGCTTTTGTTCTCAAAAAAGAGCTTAAGAGTGACTTTGTTGCTACTCTCTTTTATAAACCATGAGACTTCTAATTTATAGAATCAGAAGGAAAATACACGATAAAATAATAAAAATGTTATTACTTGGCCGCATATGGGCGTAATAAGTAATTGTCTTTTCTGCACATCACTTGCATGTCTAATTTATTTTATTTGAAATTGCAAACTAAATGTATAATCCTTATAACCCTTATAATCATATTATCTTATATTTTATCTTACATATTATCTAATATTTTATTTGCATTAGTTTAGATAGAAATTAACAAACAAGCTCGTCGTGTGGGGTGAACATGTATAGAGAGTTCCATGGAAAAACCGTAAAAAGGAAAATGTTTCAAATAACCAGTCGAGATGTAGAGAAATTAGCTCTGACTATTCATTCCTTTCTCTTCAAGTTTCACGCCATGTTGAGACAGGCAGCACCGTGGAAATCTTTGCCGTGTCTTCACAACGTGGCAATTTTCTGCCAGTAAGGAAGGGGAATAATCTTTACTCAGTTAAAACGTCAAGATTCTGCAAACCAAAGCTACATTTTCTAAAACCGCCAAAACGCTCTAGGATTCTTTGGTTGTCTGTAGAATACAGACGGTCATGCTACAAGTGGAGCTCTAAGTTTTAAGCTTCATAACATATATGTTCTCAAAGAGAAGTCGAATTCTCACAGATGTTCCCTTCAAAGAGCAGAGCGAGGAGAATCAGAGGAACGCCTCCTGTCCAAGGGCCCTATCCGCCTGATTTTCCACACTTCCCCATCAATAGAGCCTGTCCCTGGGAATGTCATACAGCGTTTAAAAAAAAAAGTTTTGACTTTGAGTGAAGGCCCTGGGGTGCGTTTCCCAAAAGCATCGTTGGCTAACTATGGTCTCAAGCTGCTAACTATGGTCGCAAGTTCCATTGAACTGTATTGGTAACGACAGAGCTTGCGACCATAGTTGCTTTTGGGAAACGCACCCCTAGTTCTACTGAGGAAAAACTAGTTTCACATAAAAATGGTGAACAGTCATCAACAGTCTCGTAACAAGTTTAACAAAACTTTATTTTGTTCATCAAAAATTGTATACACATTGCTTGAGCAATTACATTTTGGTTTTAATTTTTTTTTTGATCAAAATGATAATGTCCTGTTGCACATGCGCAGTAAAAAATAAAAATAAAAAATACGGGGATTGACTTCAAAAGAATGACACGCGACAGGATGAATGAATGTCCATTGATAGCTTTAAGACCTTTTTTTCACTTGAGACGGCCTCACTATACAATAGCTTTATGCATACAGAGGGAACAAATAACGCGACACCGGGATGGACTCACATTACCATTTCAGCAGCTCCGGTCAAGAACCTTTAAAAGGCAATGAAAAACACTGCAGTTTATATGTATAGCGAAGCGATTGATCTTTCAGGTCTATTGTATGTCTTCTAAAATAAGTTCTCTTTCAAGGAATCCCTTCCTTTTTACGACACAATAATATTGCACCACACTTTGCAAAAAGTGTACAGTGTTTACAAGAATACGTTAAATACATTGAGAGGAAAAGGGTTTTTACTATTTTTAAGTAGCCTTGTCTATTTCTAGCAATTTCTGATACTGTCAGACAGAAAATGTCTATACCGCAGTGGTCTAAACTAGTTATGTTGTCAAAAGACCAGCTGGTGTTGTGCGAGTAATTATATATATATATATATATATATATATATATATTCTGTC